GTTGGAGGTCTGGGATGCAGGTACCTTGCCCAACCACAACTTAGTACAGAAACCTGAACCCCATGAAGACACCTTAGAAGCCTGTACAGGACTGCCAGCAAGGCTAACTCGTGTGATGCCAGACAGCCATGCCAGTGCTACACCAGTTCAGTTGGTGTTACTTTCAGTCCTCTAGGATGATTCTTCTCAGACTGTGGTTCTGAGTCTTTCTGAGACCAAAATGGTCCCTTTAAAAGTTCATAGAGGGAGTAAACATGGAACAGAGAAACTTCTACAGTCTTTAGCTGGATGCAGCTCCCCAGGAAACAGAATTTGTGGTGCTCTTTTTAACACTTCATCATCCTCCAGCAGTCCCTGGGCAGGCAGTGCTGAACCCCTGTTGCACAGGGGGAGGAAGATACTGTGTTTTGAGGTCAGGGTAAACTGAACAGTGTCAGATCCAGGCACGAAGCATTGAAGGAGTCAGTGGGATGTTTGCATGTGAGTAAGGAGTGGGCAAATGCAGTTTGGGTGCTGGCTAATAAAGAGTGTAGCCCAGAAAATAAAATCCTCAGAGGGGATTTAATAACTGGGGAGAATAATTGTAAAGTACTTCAGAATATTAACCAATGGCTGAATGCGTCTAATTAGCTTAATGAAGCTGGGTGGTTGGGTTCTTTTTTTAATCAAACAGATGGGCAAAACATTATGCACAAAAAATGAGATTTGAATACAATGAACGCATTTAATTAGGAAATAAAAGACAGAGAAAGGGTTTGTTTTTCAACTTGAAGTGAGAGATTCTTCTTCACTGAATGCTCAAAAAGAGCCTTAAATGTCATGGTTTCTCGGAAGTCTCAGATTGTTACAATTATTATTTGCAATGGCTTCAGTATTTGAGATGGGAGTCAGCCTGGGCCTGGCCGTACCTGCAAGGAGGCGAATGGGTTCTGGTGGCAGCAATGCTGGGATGGCTCGGGGCGATCAGTGGCTGTTTGTTGCTGGTTGGATTCCCCAAGGGCAGCCTCAGTAGCTGTAATACTGCTTAACCCACTGCTCCAAAGCCTTTTACCTAAGTGTTCATTTGTCATCACCTCTGTTTTGCAGAAGGGGAAAGCGAGGAAGCGGTAGCCCAAGATTAAGCAGGGTGTAAGTTCCACGCTGAACATATGGTGGTGGTCAAGGTGCCCTCAGTATTTGGGACACCTACTGAGCATTTCCCCAATGGCCTGTCCTTGTATTGTCCATGCCTGGAGTTCCTGCAACCACCCTGTAATGCTGCTGGCCCCAGTCAGTGCTGCAGTGCTGACTCCTGTCCCTGTTGGTGCCCATTGCAGTGTGCAACGCTTTTCTATAGTCTGTCTGACCAGTTTTGCTGTGCCTTGGAAACCTGGTGCAAATCAATGCCTTGCCTCTCCAGACAGGAGACTCCTCTCCATGTGAACCTTTGGCGCACATGTAGTTGTGTAATGTAGATCTGTAGTATCTCTGAGTCTTGCCAAGGCTGGGAGCATTTACTCCAGTCTAATATTATAAGCTGAACAAGCCATTTTGATATTAAGCCTGTAATAATAACACCTTGTAGCTAAAGAGCATGTTTTTCCCCACTGGTGGATTACTCAGCTCTGTTCTTTTGAGGCAGTGTTTAACAAAAGCAGAGACTTTCCCAGACTATATTTAATTAAACAGAGCTCAGAGATCTTTTCAGCTTCATTTCAGTGCTGTGACTATGTTGCTCTACAGTCTCATCTCTGGGGCAGGTAGAAATGGAGCTTGTGCTCTGCCAGTGCACAGGCCAGGCAGGTCATTGTCCCATGCCCAGATGTGCTTGTCCAGATGTGCCCAATCCTGGAGGGGCTCTCATACCCACAGGCTGCAGCTGCTCTTTGGTGTGATGAGGAATATGGCACTTGGGGCAGCCCCTGAAGCTGAGCAGGTGCTTGAGCCACATGGCAGCTCAACTAAGATGCTTTACATTACAACTAAGATTTGGGGTCTTAATTTCTACCTGCTTCCTTTTTTGTTGCTAATGTAGGTATAGGAGCACTTTGAGTATGATGGCTTGGTTATCAACAGTTAGATACAAAGTGAAGACTTTAATTTGAAGGTTCCTTATTTCTGTCCTAGGAGGTATCTGTGAGCAGATGGTTATATGCTCTGGTTTTGCTTATTGTTGCAGATTATTTGCCAGATAATTTTTTCTGACTAATTCTTTGGCCTGTAGACTATTTAAAATCGTGGAGTCAGGTTTCTGGTAAAAACACTTGTGTTTGCAAATTCTAAAATCTGTTCCTGAGACTGCTTGCTGATGTCACTGTGAGCAGGAGACTCTTTTTCTGGGTGGCAGATGCCCTCTGCTCCACCTGAGAGGGGCAGTTCCTAAAGCAGAACCTCCCTCCCAGTGACAGGATGGGAGGTAGCGCCCTCATGCCCATTTTGGGGTTTATTTTAGTTTAAAGCATGGTATGGCTGGAGTCCAACCTCAGCATCAGTGCTGTCATACTGATCTTCCCTGAGGTCGCATCACTGTTTCATTTGGCATGGTAAGGAAGCAGTCCTGCTGACAGAGCTTGTGTTTTGTGCAGGTGATGCTGTATAACTTCACTTGTGAAGGGCAGCAATTGGGTGATTTGCCTGTATGTAGCTGGGCAGGGCAGTGATGGGGGTCCTGCAGCCACTGGCATGGCTCTACCTCTGCTGAAAGGCTGCTGTGATTTATTTTGTTATATTATTTTTTCCCTCCATCTTTTTCCACCTCTCCCTCTAAAAAAAAATAAAATAAAGTTATTTTATGTCTCTGGAGAGCTGGCTACAGTAACTGCTTGACTGATTTATTCTAGTATTTTAACATTTACTGGATTTACATAACAGACAAACAATCTGTTTCAGGAGTTTATATTAAACCCAGCTCTAGTGAGTCACATCCATGTTAGCAATAATGCAAAGAGAGGCAGCTGGGGGAGTGAGGAGGTGACTTTTTCTGGGTTTCTGCATGGGAATATCTGGCTGCCTGAAATATCTCTGACACTTCATAACAGTGTGATGCTGCCAGTTCTCCTCTGCCATCAGGGATTTGTTCTGAAACTTTGAAACTTTGCATCACATCAGTGCTCCCATCGCTGCTCCCAGCTGAGCCTGGTGGCCTTTCCAGGGCCACCCAGGCAGTGCTGCGTGTCCCTGGTGCTCCACAGCCTGGTGGTGTGTTTGGTACCTGGTGTGTGCATGTTTGAGGGAGAGGAAGTGTAACTATGAGAGTTGCAAGATAAAGCCTGTAGTGATTTGCTTCTTGCTTTTCTGATTTAAAGCCATGTAACCTTTGTTTGTGCCAAACTTTGTGGGCCAGGTCTTCAAGATGTGCAGCAAGTGGGATGCTGATGTGTACCAGCACATCCTCCTGGGGGCTGGTGAAACATCCAAGCACAGAGTGTAACCTGCTGCTTTTGGGATTCCATCAGTTGTCTTGTACAATTGTAGAATGCAAGAAGCCTCTGGACTGGGACATAACACTCTGCCATGGCCATCATGGTCCTGCCTGCTCCAGAGACTCTGTCTGATGGGGCTGTAAGTGGCCAAGCAAAATGGGTCTCCAACTTGAGTTGTCACTTACAAAAATCCCAAGCAAGCAATAGCAGGAATGGAATAGATGAGTTTGTGTTGCTGCCTGTATTAGAGGTTGGCTGTTCAGCGAAGCAAGGGCTTCTCTTGCTGCAGCTTGCTTATTTGAATTCTTGTCTTTAGAATGGAAAATAAATGCTGGCTGATGAGATCCATTACAGCACTAATTTTAGAGCATGCCAAACACTAGGAAATTGTTTTCAATCTTCAATCTCATTTCTCCTTTATTTCCCTCTTCCATTTGTGAAAACTGCCTTTGTCATTCTTCTAAATGCCTGGTGATGTCCTGCTCACTGGTATCCTGAGGCATTCTCCTCCTCTTTTCTGGTACTTCTTCCTTCAGCCACTTGACACTGCTGTTACAAAAGCTCTCTCTGGGGCTGCAGGTGGCCGTGTTGGCGAGACGCAGGCAGTGAGTGCTCATCCAGATGGTGCAAGATGCCAGCAGAGACCCCTGCAAGGCTGGGGGCAGCCAGGGAGGGAACATCAAAGTGGAATTTCTTATCCTTGGGTGCCCAGGACTTTATAAGTCTTTCCAGCCCCACCCCAGCCTGCTTTCTTGATGAGCAAGAGGGGAAAATATGAATTTCCCTCTGGTCTGCTGAAGAGTTTAGGAAGCAGTCCTGAAGCTTCAGTGTTTGTCCTTAGCACTAATGAAAACCTGAGTTGTTGCCCAAGAGAATGGAGCTGGCAGTGACTTAGGAATCAAAATGCTTGATCAGTGCTGGAGGGAACAGCAGTGCACAAAATCTAGATTATTGTAACATGATTGTTTTTCACCAGCTGGAAGCTTGCACTGGTTTGAGAAGAGTCTGGATTCCTAACTGGTTGTTTCCTTTGAAACCATCAGGGTGGCTGCAGACACCGGTTAGCACTGCTCCAGGCTTGCAGCGTTTAGTAGAGTCCGGCTGAGCTCTAGATTAAAGTTGGTGACAAAAGTCCCATGTAATTTTCAGAGGCTCCCTGGAGTACATGTTTCATGGGTTTGGAAACCAGATGTCCCTGATGGCAGCTGCCGTGACCGTTAGCAGATCACTGAAAGACTTGGTGCCTGCCCTGGGGGGCCTTTGAAGATCTTCTGTCTCTTGCCCCCAGCTCCCTCACCTTTCTCCTGTCTGGAGAGCCCTGGCAGCAGGTGGTACCTGGATCCCTCAGAAAGAGCTGTCTCTTGCTCTGGCTTCTTGTGCTGGAGACAGGTGAAAAACTCCCTATTCCTAGCAATTACCATTTCATGCCTTCTCTGGGTGTGCTCTGAGCCCCACGGCTGCTCGAGGTGTCAGCCTGTGGGAATTCGGCGAGCGAATGTCTTCATAGTCAGCCTTTGAACGTGGCTGAGATAAACCCTTTACTGAACTAAATGCGGTAACAGCTAATCCCTTGGAAACAGTCACCTGGGCCCTGCGCGATGAAAAGAGGCTTTGCTGCTCTGATTAACAGCACTGGCAAGAACATTAACTCACTTTTCTTTGGAAATGAAAAGCACCTCTCCTGGAGAGTTTAAGGGATTAGGTACCTGCTGGAATATTAAGGTAGGTGTTTTGCACCTTCTTTCTAAATATGTAGCTTAAAAGTCCTGTTCAGCCCTGATGGGATGGGTGGTTATGGCTGAGTGTCCCTGTGCTGTGGTAGAGAAGAGACTGGATGTGGCACAGAGGCCAGTGTGAGACGGGTGTCACCCGAGGAGCTTCCCTAGGAGGATGGCAGTGTGAGCAACTTTTGGCACCACTGCCTACGCTGGGGTGTCCTGCTGGGCACCAGGGCTCAGTAGTGTAAATTAACCCGTCAGACTGGTCAGCCCCCACCTAAAGGGCTGAAGCTTACTTAAGCCTTGCTGGGAGCCAAATGACACTTACCTTTTCCAGCCCCTTCTTTAGCAAATGCTGAAGGCTGTGTAAAGCATTCCAGCTGTTTTGACAACTTCATTTTCTCTTTCGAGGGGAGATTTTCACTGATTTCTTTATTACTTTTTTTGTTTTTAACACAAGACTTGGAATTTCTAGTTCAGGCTTTTGAAACCATCTACATTAAAAGGAAAACTCTTGCCCTTCGGTGGAGGCAGCTTTGGGCTGTATTTTTGAGGCCAGGCTTTTATCTTGGTGCTTGTTTCCATGAGGCTGTGCCCAAGCTCTGCCCTTGCAGAAGTGCAGCCTGACCAGTGAGCATCACATGTGATGCTTGTGGATGAAGGCTGTTGACCAGCAGCCTGGCTGGTTGAAAGGATTAAAACAGGTGTATAAAATTTGTCTATAAAATAATGTAAGATTGAAGAAAAATATTATATGCTTCTATTAAGTATTTGTTGTTCAGAGCAGGTTTGAGTGCTCAAAATACTTCCAAAATCCTGCTACCTTTCAACCTGTCCTTCTACTGAATTTTCTATTTTAAGTAAATAGCACAGAGTTAGCTCAGAAGGGAAAAAAGTACAAGTGTTGCTGTTCAAAGCATGCTTTACTGGTTAGATATTTATGGGAGACATCCAGGAAATGAGCAAACACTTGAAAGTATATGTATTATTTATTATTGTAGCTGATTAGTTACCACTTGAAACCTTTTGGTTGGTGTTATGGCTCTGTATACGCCTCACCAAGCAATGCCTCAGCAATGTATATGCTGGCACTTGTCCCAGTTAAACATTGTAGGAGATGAAAATGCTGCAGTTGATTTAGGGAAGTCGGGTGTTTGAGCAGTGGAAGATAACAGTGGGGCACTTGGTGCAAGGACAAGTGGAAGTGAGTGAGATTTGGAAGCGGACAGGACCAGTGAGACACTTGGTGATGGCTCAGTCCTCCCAGCACCAGGATGAGACCCCATTTTGGGGAGAAGCAGCAAGGTGGGGTTAACGTGTCTGATGGTGATTAAGTGATGACAGGCAGGAGTAAAATTTGGCTCCCAAGCATCAGGCTGCCAGCGGCAGGTACTTGGACTCTCTGCTTCTACAGTGGTGATTTCTCCTCTGGACTGGAACAGAGGAGTGTGGAGTAATTGCTTGAAAAAAGGAGGTGACTCTTACCTGCCCCAGCTGTGCAACTGGTTCTGAATCCATGGGCTCACAGGGCATGCTGTGCAGCAGCCTGCTGGCTCTGCCTCCTCCCTAGACCCGTCGTTAGGTGTTGCTCCATGTAAGACCATGCACCACCATTTCTATTCCTGCCCAGATTCCTGAGCTGTGACTGGAAAACCTCTTTAATTCATGTGAAGCCCACCCAAAGCACTGGGTGAGCAAAGCACACGTCTCACCCAGCCGTTCTTCCCTAAGCAATACACACTCTTAAGCATTTGAGACCTAAGCAAATTAGCATGTGTTGAGGTAGTTATTTAGTTCTAATCTGTGCATCTGGAAGAATAATATGATAAAATCCCAGTGGAAGGGGTGGTAGGACTCCCTCTGCCTTAAGCAAAGTAGAGGTAATGCTCTGTTGCAATGGGAAGAATCCCCTCCCATTTGTTATTCCTGGTGTAACTCGAGGTGGGCCTTTTCCTCCAGCATCAGCCATTCCCACAGGGATATGCTCTTTTCACCTTTCTGCAAAAAAAAAGTTTACAGAATGCTGCAATCAGAGAAGTTCCTTAATCAAATGACTTCTGCAGGAGAGGAGTGAGGGGGCCTGGAAAGGAATGGAAGAGTCATGAGAGATGTAGGAAAATGCTTTTTATGGAATGAATAATTTTTGGTGCAGAGGCGGCAGTGTCGTATTTAATTCTAATTTGGGGATTTTTGGGGAATGCGTGATTGACGCCCAATGAGGGGTGCAGGATGTTGTTTCTCAGCAGGCAGTCATTCCTCCGCTCCATTTACCTGTCAGCACTCCTGTGGAGACGTCTCTCTTTGGATGCCATTAACCCACTTCCCACAACACTTCCCTGCGGCCTCTTCCAGGAGCAGGCAGCACAGGAGGGGCCCTGTCCAGTCCTTGCAACTCTGGGGTTGTGCTTTGGCTTGGCTTCTTCAGCTATACCTTTGCTATGCTGGTGACTGGGAGCTTTCCTGCTGCTCTCAGTCCATCCATCCATTTCAGCCAAATTCTTCCTTTTGGCCCTGTCCTCTTAATTAAGAGCATGTATGTTAAGTACTCTGAGCCTGAGCAGTCTCTCATTGCGAGGTAAACTGAGAGCGTAGGTCTTAGGCGAGTCTTTTGTTACTGCTGTACAGGGCTTATGCTAATAACAACAGCAGAGATTGAACCCAATCCCTGATGAGCTTTCCAAAAGTCTGATTAATATGTTTAACAATGGATCTGAGGTTTTGTTTTGATCTTTTTCATGAGTGTTAAATTTTTGTCCCTTTCGTAGTAAGCTGTGGATCATGTAAGCGCAGCAGTATTGCTTTCCTAATTGGCTTCAGGTTTATCTATCTCTTATGTTAAGGGTTTGCAAGAGCACCCGTCACCATGGCATCAGAATGCTTCCTATGCCAAAAACGCTTGATAAAAACATACTATACGTGTGCATACACACTTTTTCTTGATCTGTTGCAAAGTGTGAAGTCGTTCTGCTGGAAGATCATATTTTTGCATGATTGTATTCCCCAAATAGTTAGCTTTGCAAATAGCTCTTTTCTGCTCATGCTGGTATTATGGCTCTGGTCCACATGCCATTGAAGAGAGAGAGACATCTTTCCAATGAGCTTTGGACCAGACCCTGTACAAGCAGAATTTTGTGTTTCTATTGTTTATGGTTCACGGTGTGGGGACAGCAAAACAGGGTCCTGCTGTGCTGGTGCTGTACGAAGACAGTCAGAGACAGACCCTGACTCAAAAACTTATTGTCTAAAGGTCAAGATAAAGCAAGGGGAGGAGAGAAGGGTTGGGAAGCAGGGGAAAGAATACAAATTTTTAGCCAGTCAGACTAGTGTCTCCCCTGGGCAGGCCACAAATGCTCTGGCAGGCTTAGACTTTCTGAAAAATACAGCAGCAGTAGTATGGGAAAGCAGGATATTTAAAGTGAAGTTGCAGATGTTGGAGGATTTAAAGGCTGTGTGGCACAAAATACAATGCGGCATAGAGCTGGAGGAACCAGGCTACACAACGTGCACTTGGAGAAATGTTCCACTATTTATAGCAAAAGCTTCTTCCTCTCTTGATTTCACCTCTTCTTGAATGCACTCAGTGATTGCTTTTCATGTATGAATGCTTGTAAAAATGGAGCTCCCTTAAACAGATGTGAAATGTTTATATGAGTTAATGACTTCAGAGAGCTCTGGTTGTTTAAAAACCAAGTGGTGATGAAGTTGCCTTGGCCGCAGTCGGCAGTGCTCCGTGGAGCAGATCTGGTGCCGGCAGAGGGACAGTGCAATGGTAGCTGCACACAGATCCATCCTTGGGGAACTTCCTTGTTACTGACTTTATTAATGTGCTTACAGTGGGGTGGGAAGGAGCCTTCCCAGGGGGTGAGAAATCCATGTACAGTACTAACATCTCTGGGATTTGTGCCGTCACAGAGCAGAGGGTGAATGAAACCTTACCAGTGATTTCTGGTTGGAGCAAGATGAAACCCTTAGCCTGAAACCAGGGGCTTGTAATGGGTGGTTCTCTATAAAGTGTTTTATTCTGGGTATTTTCCTTCTGCTGCTTTGCTCCCCTCAATTGCCTTTGAATTCAGCTACCAGGAAATAACTGCATCAGTGTGTTGCTGGTTATCCCATGGTCAGACCTTCCTTGCCCGCAGGTCAGATGCAGACAGCTGAGGGAGTATTTCCAGGGTAAGACTGTCCTTATGTCTCTGCAGCAGACTCCTAGAGAAAGGGATTAAGGAGAAGAGTAAGCTCCTTTCTGCCTGCCTCTCTCTTTCCCCAAGGTACAGCTATTTGTCTGCTGAGAGGATCTGTCTGTCTTCGGGTTTGCTTTTCACCACTGCTGGAGGTGTAAGTTCAAAGTGCTGCAGCAGTGGGCTGGTTTGTAAGCCTCCAGCAGCCAGTGATGGCCAGGAGATGTGGAGGTGACTGGTGGAGTCAACTTATCGGTGCTTGGGAGAGTGGTTTGGATGGAGACAGACACACAGAGCCGTTATCCCATCAGGGAGCAGACAGATCTCATGACATTACAACTGTAGCAGGAAAGCTGGTAATTACCTTTTATTTTGAAGGATGCCTTTAATGTCAGAGAGGGGACATGTTTGCAGCAGCAGGAAGTGGATTTGAGGGGGAGCTGCTGTGTGCTATTCTTGAAAGCTGTTGGGTTTTCCTTCTTCCTGGAGGCTTCATTTGTGCATCTGAGACGATTGCCATGGGAAGCAAGGGATGATGATGTGCTGGTGGCATCTGAGCTGTTTGCTTAAATTTGTGTGCCTGTGTGTCCATGAAGTTGTTTGTAAATGTGTGTGTCATCCTGGCAGAAGCTGGTCTGTGGTCACAGCTGAGCTGTTGGTCCCCAGGACCTCTATCCAAGCCCTTTGGAGGTGTGTGTTGTCCCACCTGCAGCTTCAGCAGCGTTTTCTGTAATGATGCTGAAAACTGGCTTATCCTTGCTAATTTTGTACCCGCACCCGCAGGCAGCAGTTGTGAGTCTTTGGAGTTTTTTCAGCCTTTTCATCC